ACATCGATCGTCACAGACCATGTTGTCAAAGCTAGACACAATGTTATTTTGGCAAAGCAAGAAACCACATGAAAAACCCTCACTGGTTTGTTTGTGCTGAGTGAATCTCAGCAGCAACATCTGTTAATTCCACGGTTCAGTTATTTATTTCTTAATGTATAATGTCATTTTTTCTCAAATTAACAGCTGTCTAATCAAAGCTGGTCAGGTGATATTTTAATACAAAACTAAATAATACTCTATTGTCCAGATTGTTATTTGATGTTTACAGACAATGTTTTGCCTAAATTTATACATCTGCAATTTTTTTCTCCCAAATATATCTATGAGCACTGACATTAATAATTATACCTCTGATTCGATTTGATCATACCTCATTTAGATACTATGCTGTTTCTTTTTTTCCCCCTTCAACTCATCAAAAAGGATTAAAAGATTGCATACAAGTTATCCTATATGCAATGTTATATGCAAAACTGTACAGGGCTCTATAAAGGACATCTTCCTCAATAGCCTGGCATCCGGACTAATATACATTTTTGAGTACAGACATTTGAGCTATGTTTATGGTGCTATAATAGTCTTGTTAGTAAGTGTGATATGAATCATGTTTTCCAATGCAGATGGACTCTCTTCCTTCGAGAGTATTTATGGAGAACAAATGTGATAACAGGACTGTTGTTCTTATGTAATCCAGTGTCCGGGGCAGCCCCCTCTCATGATGTCCACTGAAGGGATCAGTGCGGGGGGAGGAGGGGAGCATAACACAATCTGCTTTCTGATTGGTCGACTCTCTGCTGTCCACTGATGCTGCCTTATCTGTAGCTAGGCAACAGCTTTGTGGGACCATCTCCATCCCAGCAGCTAGTGCTTGTCTAAATGTGTTTATGGTTAAAGCAGAGCCAAAAACGGCTCACGGCAAAGTGGCCCAGTAAGACGGATATAGCCCAAACAGTTACCCTAGGGTCCCTTAGGTGCTAATGTATTTTCAGATTTATTTTTGGGTGACTTGCGTTGCACACTCCAACCCCCGAAGTACTGCTGTAGAATCTAGACAATTTTGTCCCCAAAGTAGAAATGTTTAATTTTCTTATTTTTATATTGTTTGAACTGTAGAATCATTGTGTAATATATTTTCTGTGCTAATTGAGCTAGAGCAAAAAATGTGACAAAACTTCCCCAAAAAATATTACCATAAAACTTTGAATAGCATTAGCTTAGTCTAAAATTTTGAGAAATACTGCCACAACTTTGAGCTGCAAAGTTATGCAGTCACCATTGTGTGAAGTTACATAACTGCCTTTGTACTGCACTGATTTCATGCACGTAATGGAATCTGGACAACAAAGTGGTTTTATCTTACTCTTGTCTCATTACTCACTATAACCTCGTTTGGTAGACCAGTAATCTCACTTAAGAATGAGAAGTTCAATTTTCAAATTGAAAATCTCTCTCCCCTTCTTTTTTGCTGTAAGCTATGATAAGACTTACAGCAGCCTCCCACCCTCATTAATCTCTGCATAAACAAAGCCAAACCTGAACCAATACTCTGTGTTTTTGGACTTGAGACAAGAAGGTCTGCCATTGTGCTGAATACTCGACTAGAAGGAGCTCAAACTCTTGGCCTACTTTCATATCTCCATAATAATTAAATGTAACAAGCTCTTGAGGGCTGTGGCGGAGGGGGGCTTTTTATAGCAGCCACGCAGAAGGTGTAGGAAAGGTTCTCGTCTCTGTGAAGATGTTTGGAGGAAGTGTTAATGATATTTATGTGAGAAGGACTTGTCAAATGTGTTTCACTGCTGAGAAAGATGAAACTTTCTGCTTATATAGAGGTTTCTTTATTAGAGATGAACATGACAAAAATGCAAAGGAGTGAGTCATCGTTGTAGGAGATTTTTGCTGGTCTGATACTGAGATATTAAACAAGTTATTAAAGAAGAGCAAGAGCAAATTTATTTTATTACAAGTACAATAAAATAAGTATTATAAGGGCAAAACCAGATTTGTCCAAAGAAAGAAACTACAGCTGGTAAAGTGTTGTAAATTATTATTTTGCACCTTATTAGATGCCTTAAAATAAGCTGATTTTTGCTATTAAAATTGCTTTCATAGCAACCATTTTCTAGAACTTATTTCAAAAAGAGTTTTTGTGGGATTTTAAGGTTAAGAATCAAGCTTTTTTGTTAGTTTCTGAATGGTCACTTAATTAAACAGAATAGTAAATGATTGTGAATAAGAACAATGTAAAGTGTTTCATTAAATAGACCTCTTCCTTGTTCCAAAATGAGCCCATAGTAGAGTGTGTTACAGCAGCAGCAGTACAGAGCTCCTCACAGTGTGGGCCTGGACCCAAGCCGCAGAATCATTTGGCTCTACACTAATGAAGTCTTGTTAAACAAAAGCCTCTGCAGCCTCCTGGTGGGTTCTGGCAAAGATTATACATGGGATCTGTTCAAATTAGTTAGTACTAATCAACTTGGCAAAATTCATAGAAAAAAATACATGGTTTTATAAAATGCCCACTTATTATTTAACTTTCAATATTTGGTATATTTAAGAACATATTTTAAATGTTTCCCCTGTAATGTTATGTATATATACTGTGTATAGTTATTATATCTATTTTTCTTTTATAAAGACACATTTTATGGAGCTGAATTATTCCCTGATTATGGCAAAGATGGACTGGCATGGGCAGAGTTTTGTTTTTCCTCAAGTGATGCAGAAAAGAGGAAGCCACTGTCTGTGAATGTTCATGTGCATTAGCTTCCAGTCTAAAGTGGTGGTCAATATCTGTCTAAACAAACTTGTGTGAATGGTGATGGTTAGGCTGCGGCTTTTTTTCTCTTGTCAATCACAGTCAATCACAATTTTCAGTTTGGTTTTATGATTTCAGTATTAACTACATAAACAATACATCCACCAAAGACTGAACTCTGAACCTCTCAATTTAAAAAATCCAAGCTGATTATTGACAATTAGAAATGACTGAATCTTGATCTCAATTAAGATTTGAATTGCCCAACCCTATGGATGGTCAGATACCAAATTGTTGTGTATGATTAAACAGTTGGTAGTTGGTTATAATGTTTTGCCTGATTGCTCTTGTTCTCTGCAGCTCTGTGAATCCTAATCTTTTCCAAACAGAACGCAGTTGTCAGCAGGTCACACAGTGCACTGCGGTGTCTCCCGTCAACACTTTTCTTGATGGCAGGTGCTGGCAGGTGCTGGCTGAACATGGCTGTACATAAATCCACCTGCATGCTCAGATTGGATTTTCACAGCCGTTTAGCGCCGTGCCTTTTGTCCGACCGTCACACAAGACAGGATTTAACGAGCTGAGTGAGGATCCCCCATAGAGAGCTCTGCCCACTTTGCACTTTGAGATAAATTTAGTTTTGGGGGATGACAAGTGGAAAACTCTGGATTGTGAATTGGATGACTACCAAAATAATCCAAAATACCAGAATCTCCCTATTGTGATACCCAGATTATACCCTTTAAACTTAGACAAATTTATTGATCCACAAGGGAAATTATTTGGACACAGTAGCTCACATATTGTAATATGATATGAAAACAAAGAGAAAAAAATAGAAATGCTAATAATACATTTTAAATAAGAGACTGGTATTAGGCATAATTATATAAATGTATATGTATGAGAAAAGCAAAAAATAGAAATATAGTAATATAAATACAGTATGTCACAGTTACAGAAGAGATTGCAAGGAAAAACAGTGCAAAGATGATATTATGGTTGACAGGACATAGGGTTTACAGTTGTGTGAAGTATAGTGTGAATGCAGTCCTGTAACTCTCACTGTTTGAGTGGAGCTGTAGGGGCTTTTATTTATTTTACAAATATGGAAATAAGTTAGTGTTTCATAAGGGACAGGAGTTTCCACCAGACAAAAACTGACCTGCAATCAGTTTGTTGAGTCACATTTTTAAGCCTTTAAAGCAGGGTTGCAAAAGTTTATTAGTCATTGGTGGTTTTAGTTTATCTGCAAGAGGCTTTTCAGATATGCACGCAAAAGGACAAATGTTAATTGTTGTGGGAGGTTTGGTTCACACCTAGAATTAGAGGAAATCAGATTATCCACAATGAGTCACAGGCAAAAGAGAAAAGAGGGATTTTGTGTCTACGCTGTTATAGGCACACACTGCTGCCAGCCTGAACCACTGTATATGTAAGCACATGTTATCGTACAAACACTTTTGTTGTTTTTTTTACTGGCAGAATTAAGAATAAAAACATCTGATATCAACTCGTATCTAGACTGTAAACCTCAGGTTTCACTTATGCTGTAGTCAAGGGCAAAAATTGTGTTCTATTTGAATTTTTAACCGATTTTTGGTTGTGGAGTAAATTGACAACTGGACAGCTGTGCCATTGGATTAGGTTAGGATTGTGCAAAAATATCTAAATATTATTATATCATGATACTAAATTGAATGATACAGCATCATTGGTGTAAGATGTAGTATCAGTATATCAAGTATTTTTTGGTATCATTTAACAATTCTTTTTTTTTTTTGTGACCACATGACAATTTTGTTACTTATTTAGTGTATTGCACGTATTTACGTTGTTTATGCAATACACTTAAAAACAGATGTATTTCATATTAACTTTGCATAAGTTGTGGTTTAACAAAGAAATATTGTTGCTAAAATGTATTTGGTTTTTAAAAACTGCAATATATCACAGTGTATCATGTGCATTATATCGATTATTGCATGAACTATATCACCATATTCTGATAATATGTTCTCATGAGCCATGCATCGTTTATCGTATCAAATCATGTAGGATCCTGTGATTCCCAGTCCTAATGATTATAGCCTACTAAGCAAAAACAGCTTTGTAGTTGGTGTAACAACAATACTTTTACAACACATATATGTTTTAATATTTAATGTGATCAGATATATAATATTAATGTGATATATCCTTTGAATGAACTGACCTCACCTGTGTTTTGTGTTTCCAGGTGCGGAGGATGTGGTAATGGCGTTCTCGCGGTCAGAGACAGAGGATCGCCGGCAGTGACCCAGGCCCTCCTTGATGAGCTGCACTGCACCACACTGCGCCCTGCCCCACTCTGCCCCCTAGTGGTCTACTCACACCAAATTCCACCAACACCACACCATGAGCTCAGGAGAGAACCAGGAGAAGCCCATGGGGGAGCAGAAGAGGGTGGGATCAGACTCCTCCCCAGCCCCCTCCATAGGCCTCCTCACACGGGACACACAAGTACAGGACATGCACTCACACGGGACACTGTGGGGTGATGGGCGTCTGCTGGTTTAAGTCTGTTTTTAGTGTTTTTTAATTTTGTGTGGGGTGGGACGAGTTTTTTTTTTTTTTTTTATTTTTTTTGTGTGTGTTGAGACAGTGTTAATTACTGGTCACTGGAGAAACAATTGGCCAGATTAAAGCAATGATCAAAAAGGTCAGGGGAGAGATTTTCAACTATTTTCTGTGTCATTTATTCTTAATTTGTTTTCTATCATATTGGGGCCTCATTTGTAAATACTGCACACGAGAAGGGATGAGTACTTGACTAGTAAATGTCTGGCCTTTCTTTTTTGGTTTACCACTGCTGTTGTGTGTCTCCTGGATTACATTGGTTTGCATATTGATTTGGCTGGATATCAGGTGTCACCTGATTCAATACTTTCTACAGCTCCTTAAAACGGCAACATTAAAATAAGACTTTGTAATGTATTAAGTCATATTTAATTTAAACTAGAATGTGTAGAAAGGGTTTAGGGTCACGTACTAATTGTGATAAACCACTGTTTCCATGGTAACAGTGGCCTAGTTTCGTTGATTTCCCAATTGATAAAGTGACTAGTACTCTCCCTCAGACTCACCTGTGCCCAGAGAGGTTTGCATACATTTGAAAATCGTCTTATCAAAATCATCAACTCGTATTTTATGAATGGAAGTTGCCGCACGTTATTCCTACTTGACATACCTTGAATAAATAGGTCTATAGTCTTTTAAGAATATTGACCAATGTACCTGTTTTACTAGTCTAATTAATTAATCACACATTTTATCACAAAATCCACACTACAGGAAGGATCTTTTCTATTTATTGTGTTCCTTCTGCAAATTCAATATGTTTTTGCAGAAGATGTGATTTGACTCACGACAATTGTAGTTTTGTAAATGAGGCCCCTAATTCTTCTGCTGCTTTATTTCAAGTGCAACAAAGCTTTTCATTTGAGAAGCACAAGAAGTGAACACTATCCGACATAATCACCGAAACAAAATCTCCCCTATAATTTAAACGCTTTGTGTTTTGTGAATTCTTTTCATCTGTATAAATGATTAGAGAATACAACATTGAATTGATTGTGCCAACATTGATTCTTTTTTATATCTGTAAAGACGAAACTCAAAATTGCGCAAAACGTTTTGAGTTTTTGTAATTTATTGTTTTTCCCTTTTGTAGATAGTGGCAGTTCATCAGCAGTGGTTTTTACAGTCATTTAAATCGTCGTTTTTAAGTACTACCTTTTAACTTAACCTGAGTTCAAACATACAAATATGTGCTGTACTGTATCTCTTGCACTATTATCAATGGGATATTCATATTCTTGGACATACATTTTGACATTAAGCACACAGATTTTATGTTTGATTCAACTTCTAGCAGTAATTGTAACTCATGCAATTTCAAGTTATTAAGTTTGACCCAACTGCAGTTATTAAATATAGACTTTGCCTTTTATTTCCTAGTGACATGCTACCAATGTGCAGTTTGTTAACTTGTATAACTTAAAATAATTGTTTCAAAGCATGTCTCCCTGCTTGTTAATTAAAATCCATTACCATTATTTGTATGTTTTTGTGGACGCTGTATCTTTAAAAATAATTTCGTAAAAGTGTCATGTATGGTTGGCAATAACTCCTTACTGAATGTCATTGTTGTGGCAAAGTAAACGCCAACTGCTCCTCATACGATTTTGTTTACTCTGTGTTAAAACATTCTTTATTTGTCTATGCATATTTCTTTAAAATGTGTCTTATTGTATATTTTATCAGGGTTGTTTCAGCCTTGTTCAATTTGTGTATGAACGAATGTGAGAATGTGGTATTTTTGATCATGAGTTGTTTAGATTTTTGGCATGCTGTGGACTGTGTGTTTTTACTGTTTTGGCCCGTCTAAAACATTTTTGGTTGATCTGTGTTGCCTTTGTTTTTTATTTTTGGAATAGTTGGTTCATTTTTGTACAGCTGCTGAACATGTTGTGACTTAATGCTTCCAAATCCTATACCAACTGAACCATTAAACAGATTTTAAACGTGAAATGTTTGTTGTTGTTTTTTTTTCCTTTTTCCCAAATCAAGACATTTTTGCATATCCACACTGCACGGGACAATTGCATGCAGTGAAATTATGGTTTACTTGGTTTTATTTGACCTTGTGTTCAGTCAGGATGGCATAAAGAACCAGCATCAGCCTACTGTAAAACCGGTTTAGAGCTAAACAAACACAACATGATAAAACCCTTGCTATATCTTGACAAGATAAACATCAAAGCCTCACAGAGCGCCTTGTGTTTGAAAATTTATCTGTTTTGGTTTATAAAAACTTCAAACATAACATGAAAACTGAGAAAACATGAAAGAAGTAGATTATTTTTGAGTTTAGTACTTTATTCCTATTGATTTGTTTTTAAATCACCAAAAAGGAGAACTATGTAAACTGTTATGTTTACATATGTTATGATGATGATGTTAGATGTCACTACTTTACCTATAAATGTTCCACAGGATGACATTAAATATATCTATCTCCATGGAGACATCAGGTGACTTCACCAGGTCAAGTTCATATCTGATCTGTGGAGAGGCGTCCCACAGTAAGAATGCATGTCTTCATTTAAGGCGTTTCTTTTAGGAAAATACATTTAATACCATACGGTGGAACATTCCAGACAAAGCAATAACACATCTGTAGAAACAAGCAGATGGCTCCACCAGACAAGCCAGACAGTGCACCTTGAAAAATTAGTTTTGGAGCAATATCCACATGACACTAAACACTGTGCTTCTATTGTTTTGGCTTGCACGTTACACTTGACCAACATCTATTCCTATATAAAAGTGGAGTTGACTATAAGTTAAGTTGAGCTATAAGCAAATAACCTGTAAATTACAAATGGCATTTTTAATTACAGTATTTTCTTATATCATGACACAAACAGCACCGACAGTAACCTCTTAATATAGCCTTCCTCATTAGCGCACAATTAGCTGCTGTCAGGTCTTCGCATATGTCTGGTGCTAAGGATGGTGCTGATGTAGTTTCAAATGTGAGTCTGGTTTTCTTCTAATGATCAACATCTGCTCCCACATTAAACACAGAGCACCACAGACTCGCCATGTTACACAAGTTAGGTACAACAGAAAGCACTGCAGAGTAATTAGACCACACCAGCTTTTGTTTTCAAGATTATAATTTATATTTATTTTCAAAAGCGAATATATTTTCTTAGAATATTTCTTAAGTGCTTTTTTCAGATCTGTGTTATAATGTTTCCTCATCAACATGCCTAGAGTTTCGTTTTGTTTCATTCTCACATGATGAACACACAAATCCTGCACATTTAGTTCTCTCAAACTGAAAATACTCCACCTTATGATGTCATGTAGTAATACAGGAAATGCTCCACTGTGTTTTTAAACTCCATACCCCTTCTCTGGAATCACTGGGATAATTTCAGCCCTGGAATTGCTCATCTCTACTGAAAGAAGGTAAAAAGTAGCTGCTAATTAGAAAACTACCACTTCATTCATGATATCATGTAGTGGAAAAGCATTTTGAGCTTCGGAGATGTAGACAGACTAATAATAAAGGATGACTCAAAAATGTCTGAAACAAACAAAACACAATTCCAGGTATGTTTTTTGGAGGAAATAATATTCTAACATGGTGAAAAGCTAACAAGAGTAAATTTTGTGTAATCTTGGACCTTTAAATTGTTAATTTCTATGACAAGTGTCCTACTTTTTCATCATTCAATTTATTGATAGCTTCAAATGTTTTTAGCATGTCTTGAACTTCTTTTTTATGTATTGTTTTTTTTTAAATATATGTTTTTCAGTGTGAGATGTGGTTATTATTAACATTAGCTGTTCAAAAGAGAAAATTGACAATATGACAAAGAATGAATCCTGATTAAGTTTGCTTTGTTTCTTCACAGTTCGCTGACATGTCTGATAATGAGTGAGTGTTCTTAACTACTGAAGCAAAGATAATTTTCTAATCAACAAGTCCATATTTTAATCTGAACAAGATGCTCATTACACTTTGAATGGTTTGAATGTTATTGTAATTTCTGGTCTTTCAATCAGTCTTTATGCAGCCTCCATCTTCTCCATTACAAAAACCACATGATTTTTTCATTTAGTTTTTTGAGCCATAAACTGCTGCATGGTAAATGTGAACCAGTTTTTAATTTTCTGATGTCTACAATTCACCATACTTGATCAGAGTAGCAATAAAAAGGTCATAAGAGTTTTTATGTCTACTCACTTAGGGTTTAAGATTACAAATGTTATGTCTCCAATATTTAGTCGGAAATGTAATGCAATATATCAAAAGTGTGGCGTGAGAACGTGTCAAAACGTGGTCAAATTAGAAGAGGGAAGGACTTGAATTTTTTGGTAGTATTTCATTTCAATTTTTAAGAATGGAAATATAAAGACGTTTTGTTATGGTTTATGCTTTTTACATTTCATTAAACCATATTTTGCTAAAATAAAACATTTTACTTTTATACATGGCAAATATGATTTAAATAAAGGTAATTCCATAGCTATGACCTACAAACCATGATCAGCCTAATACAAATAAATTGCAACAATGCCTCCCTTATGTGTAAATTGTCCCTGCATTTTGGATAGAATTTTTGGCATTAAATACATAAATAGAAAGATAGACATTCAGTTTTAAAACTCTACACGACTTCCTGTATTTTTTATTTATTTATTTTTCTTTTCAAATTTTCATCCAACCAAACCAAGTAATAATTAGAAAGACATGAAATCCTACCATATGCATTTCAAGGTTGCCTACAGGCCAAAACATGTGATTTCTCAGTATTAAAATGAATGCGTTTTGGTGCATTCATGGCTTTAAACGTTTTTTTTGTTTTTTTTAAATAGAGAAGTGAATCGGGCAGGATTTAAATACATTATTTTTAGATGCAAACACCACTCAGCAATCATATTTTGTCATTAAACATGTAAGCCGGAGATTCTTTATCTTTTTTTCTCCGGCTTTGGGCAGGTTCAAAAAAGCATCAATTGCTCATTGCTCTTGTTCAAACTGCAAGGAAGGCCTGAAAATCCCGAAAATCCCTTGAAAATGTGTGTCTCCAAAATTTGCCTTTCCTCAGGTTCCTCAGTATTTCTCAAATGTGCAGGAAGTTCAAAGTTGTCCTGCTTCTTACATCTGCTCATCACTGGTTCTTTGGCTTTGGTTATTACTTGTGATTTCTTTGCTAGTTTTGTGTCATTACTTTATGATGTTGTTGGTTGAGCTCCCATCTTGGCTCTAACTGAAGGTCCCCCATGCTTGTTAGTTTGTGTCTTTCCGGTGAGGTTGGGCTTGACCTCTGTCTTCTAAGGCGGTTTTGTCTCTTCTACAGGAAAGGGGTGGGAAGACTTCTGTTGGATATTATTTTTAGTCTTTAGTGACTGATTCTGGACTTTAACTGAAGGTTCCTCAGTCTTTTTATGGGTCTTGCCCTTCAGGTCTCTCTGTTCAGTTTGAGGCTCATCAGTTTCAGTGTGTGTCACCTCTACCGCAGCCTCTTCTTCCATGACTTCAATTTGTGTTACTTTGCTTCTTCCCATCAGCTTTGTTAGGGTTGGTCAGATCATTTTGCGCAGGACTAACACAGTTGGAATTGTCTGTGGACTCTGGTGATTTAGATTCTTCTTTGATTACAACTATAGGTTCCTTGGTCTCTTGAGTATGTTTATTGTCAATTAGATCATGGTCATTTGGAGGATCTATGATTTTAATGATCATCTCACTTTCAGCCACCTTTTTAGATTGCTTCTTTTTAGCCTTTTGCTTTTACTTTTACGTGTTTTTCTTTTAATTTAGAATACAATAGAAAGCCTTTATTGTCATTATACAGTATAATGAAATTCAGAGCTGCTCCGTCAAAGTGCAAGAATTAAACAAACAAATAAAACAAATTAACAGTTCTCATTCAGTAATTTGTGTCTGTTTTGAATTGTCTTCATTTATTTTAGGTGGTAGTGATGTTCCATCTGGTGGAGAGACATCTTCAGTATTACAAATGAGAATTTCTAGTTCCTCTTTAACTCTGGGGGTTATTCCATCTGCCTTATCTGCTAGGATGTTGCTATGGAGATAATTTTGGGCAGGTGTAATGCAGTTGGAATCACCTGGAACATCATCTGAGGTCACTGTTGATTCATGTTCCTACTTGACTGCAACTGCAGGCTCCTCAGACTCTTGAGCATCAAATCTACACAGTCATTTGGCAGAACTAGACTGTTAGTGACCATCTCAACTTTGGCTACTTTACTGGTGTCTTCTGACAGAGGTACAGAGAGAGATTGCTCTATGTTATTGGCCTGGAGATCAGTTTCACTACTCTCAGGTTTCAGAAGAGCTGAAGGAAGTTCTGCCAATTAAGGACATTTCTGTTAATTCGTCTCATCCCTGTCCTGCTAAATTGTGTTTCTAAATGTGCCTAATAATGTTTAAGTTATCATAATGTTAAATATTCGCTTAATGCCGGTCAGGTAGGGCTACCATATTAAAACTACTTATTTCAATGTATGTGACTGACATGCCAGACTAAATAGTGTAAAACAGGGGCCTCAAACTCAATTGGAGCAGTTATAAAATCAGTGTTGGTCAGGGGCAATATATTATATAACGTACTGTATATGACAACCAAACTATCATGCAGCCTCACATAGAAGAAACCTGAATGCAATGTTAGCTGATACATTTTATAAGGGCCGCATGATATAAGATAAAGATATTTGATAACTATATGTTGTATCGCAAACTATATCATAGCAATACCAGTACTTTTTTTGACACAATACATGAAGCAAAATTAAAACTTATTCCAATACCAACTGGGTTAAAGGAGTACACAATAAGGAAATTATGAATAAAATTTGCAGTTTTTGTATTTATTTTCAAAACTCTCGTTTCTTTTCATATGGAGAACTTTGTATTGTATTGTATTTTTATTTTTGTCATTATTGATTATTTGTAATGTCCATATGGTTAAGATATATTGTTCAGC